GCGCTCAGCTGCATTTGTCTTTACTTCACAAGTCTCTATTTAGAATTACCTGCAAGGGTTTATTTTCCAGTGTGGTTTTCTGAGACAAACCTCTTCTGCTTCTTTTGTTGTTGCTATTTTTTGAACTACTAACAACTCACCACCATCTATATGACTGCTATGACTGTGTGTGTCCACCTGTAGCTTGAATGGCAGCTCACAGAAATTGGTAAAAGTCGTTCTTTGGAACAAATTCTCCAAAGAGAAACATTTAACCAAGTGAACAATTAAGAGATGTTGTCTCAATCAATAAGTTAGAGTTAATTGGCTGTGTACAAAGCATTTCTAAGCCATTCCCCTGAAGATTATGCATATTAGGTTTAGAGTGCCTTTCTAGTGGACTGTTAAGCTACTTTCAAAGGCCAGTTTTGAAAAACAATTATTTTTCTTAATGATTATTGAAATAAAAAAAATAATTCAATTTTCCTCAATTTCCTAAAACGTTCTGCATTTCAGCTATGGATCTCACAAACTGAATTTAAGACTGTTTAATAGCAGCTTTGCATTATTTTTTTTTCTTTTGTTTTGTGCCCCTAGGATTATTCCATGCTCCGGTGGCTGCAAACTGCTGCTCTGGAGGACAGTCCCCAGCCACTCTCAGCCCGTGGGCAGTAAGAGGACTGCAGACTTAGCATATTCAGTGCCGTGTCACCTCATTTTTCAATTTCTCTTGCTGTGGGCATTATCAAAACCTCCCAAGTGCAACACATTGACCACAGACTGGGGGTGAGGACCAGTGGTCCTACACTGCTAATTGAACGTTAAGCTTCTGTGCGTGGTTTAACAAACCACACTGGAATCAAGAGACAAAGAAGCCCCAGCTCTCACGGTAGTGTGAGCAGGCGCTGGTTAGAAAGGGCCTTTCACCCAAAGGTCTCAAAGGCATTGATGGTGAAAGGGCAGTAGCCTTGGTGCTTTCAGCAAAGAGAGGTGGGAACTGAGCTCTTTGGGCAAAAGCCCTTGGTTTTGGGATGCCTTACCGGGGGTGTTGTAGGCTTCCTGAGGTGGCATGGGTTGCTACAAGGTCTGAAAATGGGTCAGGAACACATCAGCCTGGACACAGCTCCTGAAGAGTTGGTCCAAAGTGGCTTGGTCAGTGACATGCCACATGAGTCAGTGCCAGAGCCACAAATAGAAGCTGAAATGCCTGTCTGCCAGCCAGGAGTTGGCTTCACCAGACCAGCATTTCTTGTCCCGTGGGCTGCACACACGTGTTAAATGTGTTTCATAGAGCTTCCTCCACTTTTTTTTTTTTCCAAATGTCACCTCTAAAAGTCAAGGTAAATTGTAAGAAAGAAAAAAAAAATCTGTAACGTAAAATCAATAGAATTAAGTAGTTCAAAGCAAAATGCTTTTTCTTCCTTAAATGCTAGTCCTGGAAATTGTTCTTCCAGTTCTTTCCCACCACAGGACTCGTAAGGCAGAGGAGGGTAGGAGCTCCACACCAGATGAGCAGTGCTGTTCGGATGGAGGCATCGTAACCAATCTTATTCAGGCTAATTCTCGCCAGCTCAGTTGGGAAGAGGAGGGGGGAGTAAATCATTGAGTAGGTATATCTTCCATTCAGCAGGAGCTGCACATGATGGGATTATTAGTATTTCTAAACTAAAGCCCCTGACAGATCCTTGGATGCTTAAAGCTGTTGTGATGCTTTACCAGATGGTTCAGAAACTCAGACTGGAATATCTCATTGGCTGGTGCTGAACAATGACATTTCAAACCCACACGTTCATTTGGATTTTAATTTTCAGGAGGATTAAAGCTTTTTGGGATATGGGCTGTCTCTTTCCATATATATGCTCAGCACCTTATGTAGTTGAGATGCTTTTGCAGTGTCTTTGTAATTCGTCGACAGCCGTGTTGCTTAGGAAGGAGCAGTTTGGACAGTCGCACGACACTAACTGGGTACCTGGTCCAGCAAAACGTGGACGGGGTAAGCCTGCGAGTTGTTGGCTCGTCTGATGCGTTTGGTGTGACTCCTGCAGCTGCTTCGTCTTGTATCGGCTAACTGCGAACAGGTGACTGTGCTACGACATGGCATTTTGGTGCTGCATCCCTCTGTTCCTTTCACTTCTCCAAGCTTGTCTTTGAAGCCCCAGTCCTGCAAATGCTGACACATTTGCCTAACTTGGTACAAGTGGGGTGTCAAGTGTTTCTTCCTGCAAGGAGCTGAGCTCTTCAGTCCTGACTCTGAGGGAGAAGATCAAAGGCAGTGGGCTGGTTTTAACTCCCTTTCAGTCTCAAAGCATTTTTTTAAAGCAGAATGGAGAGCCCCTCTGGCAAAATGTGAAAAATAAATCAATTCTCGAGCCTGCCAAGTCAGGCAGTCCGTCCCCGGCTGCCCTCGTGGCTGTCCTGTTAGCACAGGGACCTTTCTGCTACTTCCCAGCTGCCTGGGAGAAGGGATGGGAGCATTGCTGTTAAATTCCCTTGTAAACTCCTTAGGGCGAAGATTGCTTTTTGTTGTCTGTAGGTATGCTGGGTGGTGATAGGTTACTGCGTAGAAATGCGACTGCACAGACGATGTTGGGATCAGGGAAAAGGGATTTGAGCTTAGTATTTTAGGAATGCAAAATTTATTTATAACACGTGTTTAAACAACAGTGCTAACTCGTGTTCTGCAGAGCAGTGAACCAGGATGCTTTGCTGGCAAGTCTGGGAGGTTTTGCTTTCTTTCTGCCCTCACTTACCCCCTAGATCTCTACTAAGATAAAAGCATCAGTGGGGAAAGAGTTGGGCTCTGTTGAGAGGAACAAGGACATTTTATGTAATTATTTTGGGGTGTTAGACTGGTACATTCAATCCCACTGCTCTTCACATGATTCATTCTATTTGTACATGACGGCTGCACAGAATTAAATAATGTGGGGGGTGTTTTTTTCTGTTAAACAAGTATTCCCTTGGCTTGTCACAAAAAGCTGACACATGTTCGTTCTTCACTCAGGGAGTTCTGCATCTGTCGACACTTCAGACATAATCAGTTTAGATTTCAGCAGCTGATTAGTGCTCACCTCTAACCAAACTGAGAAGCTGCTCCTCCAAATGGTAACAAATAATATCCTAATTAGTCCTCTGCATATCGCTAGCGGGAGTCTTAGCTGAAAGCGACTGATCTCGGAGGCCTTTCTGTTCAAGTCCGCTGGCTGTACAGGCTGTTGTATCAGCACTTAGCTGGGCTTTTATTCCCCCTGCCTCCCGGTGCCTCGCTGAGCAATTAATTATGTACCTGAAGGTAGGCATTAGGCACGCAACAGTATTCCACGTCCAGTTACGGGCGTTTCATTAGCGCCAGTTAATTTATGGATGCTAACGCATGCGGGAGCAGGAATGCCGGGCAGGGCTCCAGGATTGTCCCGTTGGGCTGGTGGGTGTTACGTGTCCCTGCAAAGCCGGCTGAGCTGACCACCCGACACAGCTCGTGCTGCCTCGAACACCGCTCTGCTCAGAGCAGGATCCTGCACCACGAGGGGAGTAGAAACGCAGAAGGGAGAGCGACACGGGAGCAACTCCTCCGTGCACCACTGCCTGCCTGCTTGTGACAGCACCAGGAAGTTTTCCATGGGTTTATGCTCTTCTGAGTCTGATTAGCCGGTTAGCAAAACATGCCCATCCCTGCCTATTAAACTCTGTGTACTTCCTCTTAGCTGATAGTGTTTTATACAACCCTCTTGTGTTGCTTTTTTTTTTTTAATTAATAAATGGGGATGAAGGCGTAACTTAACAAGTACCATTCACAGCGATGGCACAGTACCCATTGTCATTTTGCAGAACAGAAGTGAGGTGGGCAGCCTCAGGTGGATTAGTTTGACCACAGTAGGACAAAGAATTGGGGAAAGAAAAGAGGGGGAGAGGTCGCGGTGCGGGGAAACGCCTCAAGATGCCTTCAGCAGCATGCACCCACAGCTGTCCAAAGGCAGGCTGTGAGCAGGCCAAATGTTACAACAGATAAATATCCAATAGTTCAAAAACAAATTTTAAAGTTTAGTTTGGATTTTCAGGTTCCATTCGATAACTTTTTTAAACCCCGCTTAAGTTTGAAATGGAGATAACCTAATTATTTCTAATAAATCAGATCTAACAGAAAAATCACATAAATAACTGTGGAAGTGCTGCTTAAATATTTCTGGCTGAAATGTTTAAGAAAGTCTAGCTGCTAAAAGTAGAGATGCCACGAAATCAGCACGTAAAAGCAGAGCTGGCTGCTGAAAATGCTTTATTATTGTAGTTGCTGCTTTTTCTGGTGGTACAGGGGTATTTTCTTGACTGTATTCAGAGCTCAGTTGAAGCAACTGAAACGGTTAGATTTTTAAAAAAATATATTAAAAAAAAAAAACTGGTTTGAGAGGTTGAGGCCAATTCAAATTTGTGTTCAGGAGGAAGACAACATAAGTAATGAATTTTAAAAATCCTCTAGGAAACATTGTTAATTAATTTTAATGCATTAACATGTAAAACAAATGTGTGACTAAAGGAAAGTGAAGCTGTTTAAATGAGCACAAAGTGGTAACAAAAAGAAGTCTAATCTGCTATGGAGCTGATTTACTTGCAAAATCATTGGTTTCTGTGGCTAATAGTTAATTTTTGTTTAGAAAACAACTGAGAAGCCCTAATGGGAGGCGAGGTTATGCTACGGTATTTAAACTGAAGTTTTCTGCTTGCTTTTTAATCACCAGCTTTAAAAGGTGACTCAAATGACTTGATTATGAACTGATTCATCAGGTCTTTTTCTTTAATAATATACATGTGTGTATATATTAGAAAAAAAAAAGAGTATAGCTAATCTATTAGGGTTTCTTTAGAGCAGCTGATATGCTATTACTGGGAAAGCTGTTAGTTAAACTGAGAAGATAAATTGATGCAGCTATTATAAAGTGCAGGAGAAAATGCCTAAATGGAAGATCATGGCAGGCTCTGATAGACGGGAATTATCAGGCGACAAGAAGGTTGCAAGTTCCTTCTGGTTCAGTCTCAGAACTGATTTATTTCAAATAGTCATTAATGATTTGCCATTACAAACAGTGAGTTACTGATCTGACTTCCAAGTCAAATGAGAAGGTGATATTGGCATGAAGGAGAGTCAGAAAATTGCACGGGAAGAGTTGAGGCGCTTGGGCAGTGAAAATAAGCCGCAACGTGACCGTGCGGGGCTGCAGACACTGGGACTACAGGAATCTGTTGTAACCTGCCTGCCTGGGAGCTGGAAATGAAAGGAGCAGAAAGGTTTGGTGACTTGATACGTCTGCCAGGCGCTGATACGATGCTGTTAGGAAGAAGGCACATGCCGTGCTGCGATACCGCAGGTGAAGTTTTGCAGCGGGGATGGGAAATGCTGACGCTGCCGTACAAGCCTGGGAACCGAGGTGCCCTGGCCCACGCAGAGGTCTGCGCCGCAGTGACTAGACGTCTTCCGCTTCGTGAGCTCCTTCTCAGACTTGTTTGGGAATCTCTCTGCTCTGTCTGGAAATGGAGATGCGTTCGGTCAAGTCCTGTCAGCCTGGTAAGGTCAGCCTTGAGAAAGGGCAGGGGGTTGTGCCTGTTGAACAACACAGGAAGGGGGAGATGTCACATCGAGGCACCCGTGCTCTTTATAGAGGTCACCAATCGTGTGGCCTGCCTGGAGCCATGAGAATGCCTTCCTCATCTTAAATTCTCGCTTGAACACGGCTGGTGTCAGCCTCTTGCTACTCCTCGCCCAGGCCTGTGATGCTCGTGTGCTTACACGAGGTCTCGCACAGTTTAACTGTGCAGCAACAGGGCCACCATATTCACATACTTCTCAGGACTTCATTCAGCTCTAGCACAAGTTTTCTACCCTGTCAATTGATGTGAGCACCAGCAGGAAAACCTTATGGCAAAAACTGCACCACGTATATAGAAGGGAAGCAGTTGACTACGAAAAGTGCTGGGCTGCCTACAGGCATGGTTATGAGCTCCCTTCAGCTGGATGACACATCCCATGTTTTACTCCAGAGCTGGAGGAACTCAGGACTTAAGAGTTGTCATTTTATTTATTTTATTTTTTGTTGTGTCATCAGGCAAGGCAGTGCAAAAATGGAAGTCTTCAGATGCTTCTATTTCCCCTTTGTCTTACTTAAGGAAAGTCATCTTACTGAGCATCTGTGACGAGTCTAAACGAAATGCTGCTCTTTTGGTACCACTCAGTTCTTCTCTTTTGTTAGCCACTTCGAGCAAGGTGGGGTGTGACTTCACTGCTCTGTAATAACCCATGTTATTCAGACTTGCCATGCAGCAAGCGTTTTGAGGAGGGGAAACAAGAGAACAACATTGTTTTCAGCAACATGTCTCTTCCTAACAAATGCCATTAAAATGCAGAGATTTTAATCTTTTTTTTTTTTTTCCTTGAAACTTACAAACTTAGTGTTTTATGCCCCTTATGCATGTTTTAGGTTACTTTCGTGTTATTTCCTGTATCCCTCTACTCAGAACCTCGTCTCGGGTACTTTACGAGGAAGAAGTTAGATCAAGATACTTCTCACTGGTGCCCCATGACAGTAGGTGCAGGTTCTGAAAACAGTGCGTGTCCCTGTTTCCAGTCCACTTGGGTGCAGGCTTTTTCCCTGCTCGCTCTGTGAAGGGCAAGGTTAGACCTGTCTTTGATTTTTAAATGTATGAATAGCTGCAGAAATCAGGGCTCAGGAGCACTGGAGATTGAACTCTCCCTTGGATAAATGAAATTCTGGAGTCCATTCAACTTTTGGCCAAGCCATATACTTTTTTTTTTTTTGTATATATAAACCTGCTGTAAGCTGTGTGTAAATATTCTGGCAGATTTGCTTTGATTTTTATGCAAGATGTCCGTACAGAACCAAAATGTCAGCTGGTGCCAAATTTTAGCTGATGTAAACTGCCATAAGTATAGATCCAGCAAAGGACTTGTGATTTAGAGCACCTGACTTTTAGTGTACTAACTTGACATCATTTTTATTGGACATAAAGCTCCATAATAAATGATTAGTTGGTTTCTTTTCCTTTATATTTCTCACGTGGAACGGAATTCCATTTTTCTGTTGTGTTGGAAATTGTGAATTCACTCCAATGATCAAAATTCAGTTTAACAATCTACCTCTCCTCTGCTGTGAAGTCGGATGCTGTAGTGCCACGTCTGGCAGACAAACCAAATATGCTGCCCAGATAGGCAGTGAGACGAGGGATTAATTGAGGCTGGCTAACTGGATCTTTGGACAAGAGTTTTATTATAAAGAATTAATTATAATGTTTTTTGAGACTTGTATTTATTATTATTTTTTTGTAAATGCTAGAACGCTCTGGGATATATTTTCTAGGTAGTGTTTGCTAATCCTGTTAACAAATAATGGGATTTGTGTGTGTACCTCCCACGGGCTGATATGAAAACATACTTTGAAGTGTCAGAAGTTTTTTGGACGCACGTTTAAGACTGACTACATTCTTTAAAGGCTAAAAATAGCAATTTCTCAATGCTCTAAGTTTTGATCATACCTGCATATTGGGAGAAACTGCTACAGGTGGTTGAAATAAATGTTAGACTACCTCAAAATTACCTTGTAATGCAGAGTCTTCGTGGTTCTGGGCTGCCTAATGTGACAGTGGAAGAGCCTGGGCTTTTCTAGGAGGTAATTACGTTCACTGTATGCATTTAGGAGAAGTTATCTGTAGTGCTTTTCAGAAGAAAAGCTATTCTAATCAGCCTTACCTCAAGATCTTGTCTTTCAGACCTGAACAATAAGAAATTCTGCATGCATGTGTGTTGAATATAATTTTTTTATTTTTTTTTTAAGGTTCACCACAGGTTAGTACCTGCTTGCACTGAGGTTGGTCCTTGGGATATGGTAATTCACTGTGTCACTGACAAGGTGACAAAAAGGGTTCAGTTCTTGGAAATTTGTGTCCAAAATCTAGCCTTGTTTCCACTGCTGGGCTACTATCTCTACAAGGCCTGCCTGACAAGGGGAAGGAAATGTACATTTTGGTTAAAAACTAGCACTGAGTGAGTTTTTGTCCATTTCCTTTAATAGGAAAGGTGAACCTAATGTTGCTCCTTTTTATCAAGGAACTTTGTTGCTGGAGGCGAGCTACGAAATGGCGTCTGGGGCCTGTGGGGCCCAGTAGGCCTCAGTTTAATACCGCAGCCTTTAAATATTGCTTTAGTGATAGGCAGGTCCAGGATTTTCTGTGCCCTAGGCCTGCGGTAAAGCTGGAGAACAGCAAAACAGTTGACTTAAAAACAAAACAACAACAACAAAAAAAAAAGTGTGTTTGAAAGCCAGGAAGTCAGGAGAAGTGCCTTCCTCTGCTCTCATGGCGGTTCTGCTGAATAATCACTTGGCAAACTGCAGTGACGTGTCGGAGAAGCTCACAGTTGCAATTTAGGTATAGGGTATTTTGGGAGGCTTTGCTGGCTTTTAGCTGGATGTTAGAAAAGCTGTGTGATAAGGACATAAGTTTCCTATTAAGCCGTGTCAGTGGTCTGCAGCGTTTGAGGCTCTTAACCCAGTGCGAATGAGGAAAGTTGATGCTTTTTGTCTGCTTGGTAGTGGTGGTGGAACTGCCGGAACAGAGGGAAGGAGACAGGCTTGGCAATAGGGCTTTTTTGCACTTTTTTTTTTTCCTGAAGAAAAAAGTTTCAGGTGGCTGGGTGCTCTCTTATATTCTTTCTGAGCCGTTGGAGCTGGCTTTTCAGAAGAGACTGGTCCAAGAGCAAACTGTTGATCCAGGAGCTTAGGTGGATTCAGCCAGACCTGCTCTGTAGTAAGTTGTCTCTAAGCGCAGTTAAAAACTTCAGTTCTCCTCTCTGGGTTACATTTGCCTGAGTTAAGCAGGCAGTGAAGCTAATCTATTTACTTTTATTTTTCTTTCTGCACTGCTCCTTTGTTTCCTAACCTTTTACCACTGTGAAACTGTTGGCATGTGAAAGGTGTGTGGCCCTCCTGTACCGATAAACATTTCTAACATGTCCTAGAAACCTTCTCTTTCTGTGGGATTTAAGCTAGCTCCTTCAATTGTTTTTCATAACATCTGAGTTTTGGTATTTGGCATCTTCCTGACCTGCTTCTTATTGAATTGTTTGAAGGATAGTGATAAAACATCCTCGAGGAACTGACAGAGATGTATACAAGTTCATCAACCCAGGTATTCCTCAAATGTCTTAGATCTGAATTCAGCAGCACAGAGTTTAATTAAGCAGTTGTGCACTTGTTCAACTTTCAGCAATTCTCCCTTTGAGTAATTCACCGTGGGTCTGTAGGTGCTGACAAACCCCTTTGGTGTGAACAGGATTTGAGTGTGCACCCAACAGCCTTGTTGAGTGAAGCCGTCTAGAAGAATAACCAAATACCTTGTCTGCTTTTTACTGGTTCCTGTGCATCACGCTGGAATTTCTCAGTCATGCATCTGTCATGAGCCCTAGTTAGGAACGGAGGAGCCTTTCTGTCTCCTGTGCTCTTCTGGTTGTGAAATTGTCCTCAGCTGTTGTGAAGGCAGCAGTATCTCGGTTTCCTTAAGCTCCACACTGAATCTGATGAGGCTTTTTGCTCCCTCTCCTCCCCAGCATATCTAGAACTTGTGTAGTTTCCAGCAGAAATGTCTTCGTGCCTCATGTACATAAAGCTTCATCTATTTTGTTGACCGGCATGCTGGATTATGGTTTTGGGTACTCGTGTGTGCACAACTCCCCAGGTATCAGGGGGTTAGGCTCACGTAGCTGTGAACTGATTTAACCGTTTCAGGCTTGCCTCTGTCAAACATCATGTGAGGTACGATGGTTCTGTTCCTTCACTGATCTAGTCCTCTTCCAATTTATTTGTATTATTTTTGCCTTTTAGTAATGGTAACATGATGTGCAGATGTAATGCACTGAAACATGGAAGGGAAGAGCAAACCACAACCACTTCTGCTTATATCAAATGCAAAACTATGTAACAAGAGCCTTATTAAGAGATTTAAACTGACCTCTGGAGTGCCGTACTGTTGATTTCATACCACCCTGAAGTATTTTCACTTCTGGTACCGTTTGGCTCCTGCTCTTAACTCTATTTACTGTATAGGCTCCCACTTTAGATCTTCTTCCAAAGCTCTTCTCCTTAGCTGCTGCTGTCTGGTGCAGAACCTTGTGAAATGCTTTATAACACTGAGTATACAACAGCCCCCGAAATTCCTTCACGTCATTGCAGTGCCGTCCTCGGGGAATTCCAGAGGCTTTGCTAAGCGTGACCTCTTCTGCCTCCGTCCAGCCGGCACGGTCTTGGGCAAGTTGCTCTCCACGTTTTCCTGGTGTATCATTCTTCTGGCATGCAGCTTCCAAAGCTTTCTCCCCGCAGTTGATTTTCAGCCTTCTGGCTAGTAATGCTGCTGCTTACTTCTTGACCTGATACAAAGTGGTACTAAAATGAAGGCTTTTCTAACATAATTCACTAAAGATTAAGTCTGCATTGTAGAAATCTTGATACAGGGTCATTTGTGCATTATTGCGACAGACTAAGAGGAGCTCAGCTACTTTAAAAGAAATAGGAGCCTTTCTATATAAAAGTTTGACATGAATTAAAAAGGTTTTGGCTTTTTACTTAGGGGGATGCAAGTTTGTGGCATTTCTTCATTTTTTTTGGATGGTATTATCTGAAAGCGATGTAATATGGTTATTTCTGGTTTGCAGAGAAGGCATTTTTAGAGCAAGCTGATAGCGAGCCAAACTCTCTGAAACCTTAAAGTTGTGGTTAGCAGAAAGACAGTTTAGGAAATTAGGTCACCATTACCTCACTATTCTCTTATTATTTTTTTTTTAATTTTAAATCCTGTAGTATCTCCTGTAGTTGCCACTGTTGCTGTTTTACTGGTAGCACCAAAGATGGATCGGGTCCCAAGCTGGCAGCAGGAAGGAGGCTGACGGCCTGAAGCTTCAGAGGGGTGAATTTGCTGCGTGAAGGCAGTGCCAGCAGAGGAACAGCAGGACCAGTGGGTTATCAGGGGAGGAAAGCCAGAGTACAGACTCATCTTTGACACTGGAGGAGTAGGTTGGATTTAAGGATCAGGTGGGAGCTGCTGCCCTGCTGACAGGCTAAGCACCGAGGAGGCCAGGCAAGGTCTCAGCCCAGGGGGCAGCTGTGGGCAATCCGCCTGCCTGAGTGGGTATTTGCCTCTGCACCATCAGCTGTTACACCTCCACTGCAGCAGAAACCATCCCTGTGTGGGCTGCCGGGATGAGGTGGGAGCAAAAGTAACTTGAAAACCCAGACCTATTTATATAGGCATCAATTTTTATTTATTTATTTTTTAATTTTTCTCCTCTTAAAAAATGCTATTAACAGAGTCTGGGAATAGCTGAAAGCTTTATTCCCATCTGTTACACTGTGCGTGGCTCTTTTAAGGTGTGACCTTATCAAAGCTGGAATCAAAACACAAAGTAAAGCTGAAGGCAGGCTCAATCTAGTTGAGATTCCCTTCAGTAGACCATGGCGATGGGGAACAATGGAAGTGCTGCTGAAGTTCATTCTTTCCCTAAGTGTGGTTTTATCAGCAATTAGTGTGTAAAAATAGCCCTTACTGCCTTCAGGATCCTTCCCCTTGCTTGCAGACTGGCCTTGGCTTACTTTGCCTAAGAATCAAGGAGGTTTCTACTCCAACCAGAGTATTGATTGAGCCAGTGCAGCCACACCTGCCACACATTACAGGTATTTGTTCCTCATCCCTGGGATTGCTTGTTAAACTCCAGCTGCAGAGCCTTTACTGCCGGGTTTTCTTCATGGGCCGGGAGGAGACCAGTTTATATCTTCATCTTCCAGGCCCAGGGAAATGAATCATTTTGGAGAACACCAACATAGTATTGTGCTGTGCTGGATTTTGGTTGCTTTTCAGGTGTGTTTGGAGTGCTTTTTGTGGTTTTTGATGAGTCATTGGGATTATTGTGACTAACCTGGTCATGATGTATTGTATGGAGAAAAGAGGCTGAAAAGGAAGGAAAAGGAAAGATCCAGTGGGCAGATATTATTTGTATTTGTAATCCCTGAACTCTGGCAAAATAACTACTCAGCACTACGTAAGCAGGTAAAGGTAAAATTGGCTTCTCCCCCATTAGCCCTACTTTCTCAGCCTGCACTTAGACTCCATGCTTACCCCAGAGGTTTGGGTCTGTCCTTTTTGTGAAGGGGGTTGTTACACGTGGAGGGGTTGCAGTTTGGGAGCTGTAATTTATATACTGTTGAATTAGCTTTCAGGACCCTAAGAAACATCGAAACCTCATTCTTCCATCTCTTTTACGACATCACCTGTGACAGCTTCAGTTTACAGACTCCATTCTTTTTGTGGAAATTTTATTGTGTGACCATTTCCTTGTTTAGTAATACAGTGGCTTGGGAGGAAGCAACTTTATACTTTTGATCTAATTTTAAAGCCTCAGAATAGGTCATTCGCTCCTCCAAACAATTTCTAAAGATTTTCAAATAAGCCATAACTTGATTTAGAAGGCGAGGAGTAAAGTGTCAGGGCCAAAACTTTGAAGGAGCTTTTATGTGTAACCTTATTGGGATTTTTAATGGGCTAAATACAGCATTGTAGGCAGAAGCTGTAAGCTGAGAAGCCCTCCATCTCAGCAGATCCTTGGGGATATGCCCTTGGGAGGGTTTCAGACTGCAAGAAAATGTGGAAAAACAAGAAGATTGCTCTGCAGGGATGGACATAATGCAGGGAGAGGTTGGGAAAGATAAATCCTTCTGGCCCCCTTCATTATGAGAGTAAAACGACACTTTTGGCTAGAGGCCAGTGAAACCTGGGAGATCTCGGATGGTGCAGACAGGACTAGCAACAAGTTTTGTCAGGGAATGGATTGGATGAGTGCAGATTTGCCTCAGCCTTGTGGTTTTTGTTCTGAATGCATAGCGTTAACCCTTCCTTTCCTGCTGCTTTCCAGAAGCAGAAGCAAGGCAGACACTCAGCCCTCATGACAGAGCAGGGGAAAAGTGCTGTGGATTTTAATTAAACTTGGAAAAACAAGTGGAGGTAGAGGAGGAGCTGTAGGATTGTCGGAGGAGCTGCCTGTTGCGACTCTGACCCAACGACACAGAGGTTAGCAGCCATCCCATCCTCCCCGTGTAATCAAAATTGGGCAGTGCTGTGGAGAGGAGGGCTACCAGGCAGATTGGTTTACTCACATTAAAAAAAAAATATTGTTTTTTTAATTAAAGAAACTGAAAATGATTTTCAGCAAGAAATCTGCTGTTCTGAAAGGCGATGGTTTTGATGTAAAATTTTGGCATGCCCTTTGGGTTTTAGCTACGTTGGCTCACCAAGATACGGCTGAGGTGGTGTTTCAGGGAATCGAGGAAAACGCTTGTCCTCTTTAACGTCTTAAACTAAATACAGCACCTTTCCTATGGCAATGGGACCTCAGTTATTTGGCTGTAACCTTAGATTTTAGTCTGTGATAGGTAAAAATGTTACTATTTGAAATTAGGCCATTAAGGGCTAGTTCTTTGAAGGAATTTGGGGTCCTCTGCTCCCTTAAAGCACACCTGCAGTTGGAGGGGTGACAGCAGCTGCAGGTTTGCATGGGTTACCTTTAAGTTAGCCCACATATCAGCACAGAAGGGGACAGCACCATACCCTGGCACTGCTGTGATGCCCGCTGGAGCAGCTCAGTGCAAAAGGAGCCGTGGGTGCTGCCGCCTCTCTCCGTAAAGCTCCCAGGCTTCTCCCTCCAGTTGGCTCCGGTCAGCCCGAGCGCGCTCGGGAGGCTGGGTGTATTTGCAGGATCTCATGATCTTCAGGGGACAGCGTTTAATTTTTTTATAGGAGTTGCGTGTAAACATGGGAGGGTAGAGCTTGGCCCGTAAATAGGATCTATTTGGGAATAAGCCTTTTCCAGAGCGAGGCTCGTATAATGATAGTTTTCATTTCTTCAGTTAGACATAAATGAGGGCCACGAGCCTAAAAAGGCTTCCATGGAGGCTTTATTTTAAGATTCACCAAGTACTGAAATTAGCCTGTAACTTCAGGGCTTGTAAGTTAAGCATGCATCGCAACTTTTTCAGCGCCTCCGGCCATACCGCCTTTCACCTTGGAGTATTTGTGCTGTTCCAACTGCTCTAAGTCTAGGCATGATAGCTTTCTCTTTCCAGAGGCTGAGACTTATTTTCTAAGTCCAACTTGGTGAGGCTGGGGGAGATATCGCTGGAAAGCAGTGCCCCTCGCTATTGAGGTAGAGCAGGGCAGTTTAATAAAGTTTCCTGTTTCTAACTAGGAGCAATTAGCAGTTGTGTTTTAGGAGGTCAGAACCAGGACAACACGCACGAAGGGTAAGTCTGAGCTGGCTTTTGTCACTTGAACCTTTCAGTGACCAAAAACCCTAGGAAATCCACTATAAAAGACTTAAGGACAATAGGATTTAATTGTACATCCCTTGGGTGTCTGTGCTGGCTGTGCCCTAAGGAATGTTGCCATTAATAAAGTTTTTTTTTTTCCCCCCCTTGAAAATCCTAACTGATCTTTGGCCATGGAGAGAGGGTGCCGAGTTGTTAGCTGGGCATGGTACCAGGGATTTGTGAATGAAATGCCAATTGCCTTGTGTCTGAAGGCTTCTGAGGGCACTGGGGAAGTGAGAAAAGTTGTTTGCAGTCAGGTTGTTGTGCTCAGCCCAGCACCTCTGCCCCAGTCCTCATTTTCTTCTTTTACATACTCACTTTCGAGTATCATCAGCCTCCACTGTTCCCAGGGTTCTTAGCTGTAAATCACGCCAAACCTTTGAATCCTTGAGTCATTTCTCGCTATGACTTTTCCTCCTCTGTGGTATGAAGTACACGTGTGTTATCTGCTCACCTGGAGCAGATCTGAGAGGTGCTGTGGTCTACAGGAATGAAAACAGGGTTGGGAGGCAGGAGGTGGTGAAATCTCATTCTGGCTCATGGGGCAGACTTCAGCGAGCTGCTTCACCTTTCTGTTTCATTTTTCTCGCCTCTGCAAGGAAAGGGGTACGAGTGTTTCCCAACCTGCCTCACATGGCGAGCACTGGATAGAGTAGTTCATTAAATCCCTTCCAAATCTTTGGATGCATGGCATCCTACGGGACATAAATACCTTCTGGTGGCCGTTAGCAGCAGTCTGATAGGAAAGCATGGATTGTCCTCACTCACTCCGTAGTTGGTCCGGAGGATGTATGTGTGTTCTGTGCTTCCTTTGCTCCCAAATCTGTTTGCCTGCAGCTCTGAAGAAGGAGATACAGCAAAGGTCAGCCATCTGTGCCTGCCACTGCAGAGGGACGGGAGCCCCGTTGGCCAGCAGGTCTCCTTTTGCTCGGACACACGCTTTGGTCACATGGCAGAAACATGTCCACCGAATGTGGGAAACTCACTTCAGGGAATCCTGTCTCTTGCTTTTTGCTTTTCTTCCGCAGCGTTACCTTATTAGCACCTTTCCTCCACCTGGGTACAGACTGGCAAACAAACACCTCACCACCTGCCAGCAAGGACCACACCTCGGGCTTCCTGAGAGTCACAGCCGTCAGTTTATTGCAGGGAGCATGGATCTGTTTTCCAGCACTGAAACCAACTGGTGGTAGTGCCTATTAGAGTAGTATCTAACCTAAGACCAGCCATTCTTAATATAAGCCAAGTAGTCATTTTTTTTCCCCTATAAGTAGCACAGAAAACCTGTTGCTCCATCACATTTTATTGCAGGAAGATTTTTTTTCTAGATTTTTTTTCATGCCCTAGGTATTGATTAGATATTTTCTGGAATCCATATGTGTTTCTTTAGGACCCTTTTTTCTTTTTCTTTTTTTCCCATTTAAGGAAACATAGAGTATTTCTTCTCTGTTCAGTTTATGGGTCCATTCTACAGGGTTGCTGCTGTTGGGCAGGGAAGCTGTGCGAGCCAGCTTGCAGGACTTGTGCCCTCGCAGTGCTGGTGGAGCTGGGAAAAAATCCAGCTCCTGCTGATGTGCTGCTTTCCAGCAGCAAGCTCTCCTCCTCCCTTGTAGCCTGGGATTAAACCTTGCCTTGCTCGGTGTCCTGGGTGGAAAGCGTGGTGGACAGCCAGGAGCAGCCACAGGCTGGTATTTTTGGGGTGGGTCACACGGCGCGCCTGC